CTGGGGATGTGCATTAACTTGTTGGGGTCATTAATGTAGAGGTTGAGTGCAATATTGTAAGCTTCATTGGCGGGGACTTCGGTGAAGAGTGACACGACATCAAAACTGGCCATTAAGGCTTTCGAATTTAGTTGTTCTAGTGTATATCTAAAATTGAAGGCATCTTTAAAAAATGAACCTGCAGATGTTACATATGGTGTGAGAGCCCAGGCTATGTATTTGCCGAGATTTTAATTGAATGAATCATAAGTGGACAGTATAGGTCTTGATTATATGTACTTTTATAATAGGTGCCACAACTTCTTGATTATAGGTAGTTTTATGATAGGTGCCACAACTTCTTGATTATACGTATCTTTACTAATAGGTACCACAACTTCTTGATTATATGTACTTTTATAATAGGTGCCACAACTTCTTGATTATATGTACTTTTATAATAGGTGCCACAACTTTTTGATTATATGTATCTTCATAATAGGTACCACAACTTCTTGATTATACGTATCTTTATAATAGGTACCACAACTTCTTGATTATATGTACTTTTATAATAGGTGCCACAACTTCTTGATTATATGTACTTTTATAATAGGTGCCACAACTTCTTGATTATACGTATCTTTATAATAGGTACCACAACTTCTTGATTATATGTACTTTTATAATAGGTACCACAGCTTCTTGATTATACGTATCTTTATAATAGGTACCACAACTTCTTGATTATATGTATCTTTATAATAGGTGTATAATCAAGAAGTTGTGGTGTACTTTTATAATAGGCACCTATTATAAAGATACGTATAATCAAGAAGCTGTGGCACCTATTATAAAGTACGTATAATCAAGAAGTTGTGGTATGTACTTTTATAATAGGTGCCACAACTTCTTGATTATACGTACTGGTACCTATTATAAAACAACTTCTTGATTATACGTACTTTTATAATAGGTACCACAACTTCTTGATTATACGTACTTTTATAATAGTTACCACAACTACTTGATTATATGTACTTATATAATAGGTGCCACAACTTCTTGATTATACGTACCTGTATAATAGGTACCACATATATACCAAATTAAATTTCTGAAGAATACTTATGATAAGAAGATAAGTGCCATAAGATAGTAATATGCTACCAAGTATTGTTTTTATATGTATAAAAAGTATAAGTTTTAATAAATCAGTAAAAATATACAGAAGTTCTAACATCTTATGGCAGAATGCTGTGAGAAAGAACATATGTTGTTTGTCTTTATATATGTTTTACCCTCATGTGTTTAAATAATTTCATTTCATAAGCCATAAAAATTACCCTATCTTGTGAATGGCGGTATTATAAACCTACTCTCTCTCTCTATATATATATACATGTATATATATATATATATATATTATCAGCAAGAAGCAAGTTTTATAGAAAAGTATGCCTTCGAAAAGAAAAAGAGATTCTTTTAACAATCAAAAACTTTACATTCTAGTATTTGATCTCAAATCTCGGTTTTTATTACTTTATAAAGACAATAGATAGATTTAAAGGGTTTTTGTTTCAATAACTTGCTTGTAAGTTTACTTCAATATTTTATAAAAGCGTGACTTTTTTGTGAGAAAATTATAATTTGTTTGTTTGCTGTTAAGTGTAAAGGTGCACAGTGAGTTATCTCCGCTTTGCTCACCGTAGGGATTGAGCCCCAAATTTTAACATTATAAACCTTCCACTCAAGCTTACTGCTGAGCCATGGGGTGCAAGAAAGCTATATAAAAAAACTATGTTGAACAGAAATATATTCTATTGTTTATTGTTTATTTGTAATTAAACACAAAGCTACACAATGGGCTATCTGTGCTCTGCCCACCACGGGTATCGAAACCCGGATTCTAGCGTTGTAAGTCCGCAGACATACCGCTGTGCCACTGGGGGGGCAATACATTCTATACATTTATAACCTGATTAATATGGTTACCGTTAGGAATTAAAATTAGTTTTTATTTTTATTTTTACAGATTTTTAATACAAAGTGTTATTAGTCACTGAATATATCAATGCACCTGAATTGACTGTATGAATTTCTGTAGTTTTAATGTTTTTAAAATTCCTGATCTTTATTCGTTTTCTTTTTTGTAAACAATATTTATATACAAGGTGAAGCTTCTTGTTTTACGATAAACGTTTATTATTGAGAGAAAACCTTTATCAAACTACGTTAACTTTTTTTTTTTTTTGGAAACTAGACTAATGAGAAATTAAAAATTATCTTTTGAAATTATACTTCATATTATTCTGTACATTATATCATGCTACAATTAGTGTCAACATTCTGGAAGATGTAACATTCAGTTTGATCCTGATTCACTATGCAAATAAATTCCTTTCCAAGATGCCAACACCCTGACAGATCTGGCATCTAGTTTCACCTTGATTCACCACGCAAAACAAAATATTCCCAAATCTTATATGAGCCAGAAATTATCATATAAAGTGTTTGATGCATTGATCAGTTTGGCGTGCGTGTAATGAGTACGATAGTAGTATCTTTTCTACAGAAATAGTTTGCTAGTCG